CCCCAAAACCCCAAAACCCCAAAACCCCAGCTGACCAATAATAATTGAATTAATTAAAATCTTATTATAAATTCTAAAATGGGCGCAGTTTGCTGTAAACTTGGGGGAATCGAAGGAAACAATTCCTCAAAAAGCTATCAAAAGTCAAGGAAGAGCTCAGATGCTTCCAAGCCAAGAAAGAGTTCTTTCCAAGAATTCGAAAGTGTTGACAGGAAAGCCTGGATCAGTGAGCAATGTAAGCATGCTGGTGACCAAGACCTGTTCACTAAAGGTAAGTTCACCTATTTTTGTAGAATCTAATATTCTAGAAATCAACGAGTGCGATTTCCAAAAGGCTCATTGTATTGGAAGAGGAGCCTATTCTAGTGTCTATCTTGTATACAAGAAAGATACAGGTAGACCTTATGCAATGAAGGTCATCAAGAAGTCAATCAATAAGATAGAAAAAGACAGAGTGAAACTTGAGAAAAAGATAATGACAGATTGTTATAGTCCCTTTCTGGTGAAGCTTTATTGCACATTCCAGACCCAGGATAAGTTGTTCTTCATCCTAGAATATGTAAACGGAGGAGAGCTAAACACCAAACTAATCAAAGCTGGTGTTATCAAGGAAGGCTTAGCCAGGTTCTACGCTGCTGAGATCTTGCTTGCTCTCAAAATAATGCATGAGAAGAACTACCTTCATAGAGACGTTAATCCGAGGAACATCCTCATTGATAACAAAGGGCATATTAAAATTATCGATTTTGGTTTATCCAAAAACATCAAAGAGGATAGCGACAGAATCGAGACTTGCGGAACCCCCGCTTATTGTGCCCCAGAGATCATCAAGGGAGGAAAGCATGAGAATACAATGGACTTCTGGAGTTTCGGAGTGCTTCTCTACGAAATGCTCCACGGAAAGTATCCATTCCTTAAGGGAACTGTCAAGTCAAAGTAAGTCTTTTCAAAATTCGCTTTTAGCCAATCAAAATTTTTGAATTTTCTAACCTTTTCTGTAGGGACGAGATATTTAAACAGGTGTTAAACAACAAACTGAAGATTGACAGGAATTTATCCCCATTCACTGAAGACTTCTTGAAGAAACTTTTGAATAAGGATCCGGCCAAACGTCTCGGAGCTAATGGAATCGAAGAAATTTTAAATCATCCATTTCTTGAAACCATTAATTTCAAAGATTTGTCTATCAAAAAGATGAAGTCTCCTTACGTCCCAAAAGTAAAGAGTGAAGATTGTACGAAGTACATTTCGGGCACTTGGCTCGAAGAACCGGTAGACACCACAGATAACGAACTCACCTTCACCCTTGATGAAAAGAGGGAAGCTTACGTCAGAGACTTTTCCTTCTATGCAGAGGGCAGCTTTGCTGGCCTCTGGACGGGAGACTCTTCTAGAGCAACTACCCCGACTAAAAGTGGTAGCGATATCTCAGAATATTAATAACTATACTTCATTATAATAATTTTTTCAAACCTCCATTTCGTGGCGTTTCCAATCTGTGATAATATTTTAGGGGTTTTGGGGTTTTGGGGTTTTGGGGTTTTGGGG